CGCCTTATCGATATTGTGATTGTGGATTAATGTTTTTTTTTTTTTAATCTTAATGATTCTTGAATTACGCGAATAACGTATGTCTAATTAACGAATTGATACAAACACCGAGACATTCCGACCAGTGTCTATAGCGCGAGCGATTCGCCTCGTCAAACTCTGTTAAGTTTGAAGACCGTTACACCTTCCGATATCAAATCGCCCGCGCTCCACTCATTCTCATCGGCGGGCTCTCTCTGGTGCACGGCAACCCTAAATTCATCTTAACCGATCAAATCAAATGGCTACTTCATACATTTTTAAACAAATCACACCATTCTCCTTCATAATACAAGCACTACATAACATACTAAAATATACCGTGATACAAGCTCTATGTGTTTCGAACACCCTTATAATTGTGAGGTCACGAGGTACGACTCCTGTAGGGCTCATTCGCTGGTTATGTAGCTCCAGTGCCGTGTTAGTTAACTGAGCAATACTGAGCACTATATAAGACTGCCCTACAGACGTCGCATTCAATCAATATACTGTAAAATATACTTTATTTTTTATATGTAATTGTTCAAGTTTTACGCTCAAAAAGCTTATCATATAACCACTATTATTACCCGACGCGGTGTCGTTACAAAAAATATTTATCTTTCGCAATCAAAACCCTTAAAATTTACTTTATGCTTAAGCAAAAATAAACTCTTCGTCTATGCTATAAGATTTTATATCCATTTACTTTTCTTCTTCTCCTAATTTTTTTATATAATTATTATCTAAACACACGTTTTGCATTACAATATCAATTTTCCTAGCTTCATACCGTGCTCGACACCAATATATTTCCAGCTAGACGATAGTAAACTCCTACACATAGACTCGAAACACAATAGAGACGTGAATGACGTGACAAAGAAAAAAAAAGCGCCAAAAACGTTAAAAATAGCATCATGCTTTTTCGGTTAAATTTCATAGCGTGCTCTGGCACTCTAGCTGGAATACGCGATCCTCCGTTTCTTTTCCCGCCATCCAACCCTCCATAACCTAACCTTAATGCTATATGCTATGTATGTATATATATTTACAGAATCCCGACCGTTTTAATACCATTATAAATACTAACAAACAACACTCACACGAAAACAAAAAAGACATAAAACATCGATAATTTACACGCTTCCGATATCAATAAACGAAGCGCGCTCAGAATTTACATAATCATTTCCTTAATTAACATTATACGGACTAGGAATTCATATGGTAACTGTTAGTAATATATTTTATACAGAGTGCAGAATGTGGTGCCACGCTATCTTCAATGTAATTCTTTAATAAGAACGGCAATGGAAGCTTGCAAACCTCATTCATTCGTCTCGTTTCCGACTATTGTCAGTTTGTTTGAAATAACTCAACTTGAAATCACATCTCGATGGGTGAAACTATATAGTTTATGCGACATTTTTGCAACTCAACAGAAGAACCATTTGAGGATTAAAATTTGGAAAAAATATAATAAAAAAAAACTTCAGAGGTGTCAAGGGACACCCGGATGGAACGAAGTTCCTTTCGATTAATTAGTGAAGGAACTGTAATTTTTTTTTAAGTTATAATAATAAATTACGGCATTATGAAGAAGAAAAAAACAATACTATGAACTAAATTACTATTGTTGAAACGCTATCTCGAGAAACTGTACTCATTACGCGGACCAATCGGATACGAGCAATGTCACGCGATAAGCGCCTACACGTTGATTGGTCAGAATGACGGATCTAAAAAGTGTCGTGACAACTTTTCGTAAGAATTTTTTCCGTCTAGCCCCCTTTCACAACGCGCGATAAGGAACTTCGTTCCAAAAACTGCTTCGGCTATTTGAATGAAGTAAACTTAATTGTAGTTCAATCAAAAATATCAAACTGCTTATGGTAATATCAAATAAAACGCACCTTTAATTACAAAGATAAATGTCGCTTAAATAAAATAGCTTTTCACCTTTCGATAATATTTCACAACTAAAGTATAGATTAACTATGATTATACATGGCCCTCAATCACCGCGTACAATTACGAAGTCATAAAATAAAGTGAAACTTGTGACGTACTATTTTAAAAGATCACACGGATTGAAATACGTAAGTAACATGCGAAAAACAAAAGTATATATTTACTTAAATTTATTATAAAGGTTTGTTTATAATAACCTCGACTTAACCTAAGCAAATTTAACGAATGTCCTTAAATACATTACAAATATTAAACTATGTAATTAATCCGACACAAATAAAGCCGTATATTAAGCCGCGTACAGACATCGCGAGGGGTGTGTCGCGAATGGTTCGTCTCGCATGCCTCTCGCTGTGTGGACGTGTGTACTCACAGTGAGCATTCATCAGAGTATGTATCGTCCGGGACGCATACATAAATGCACCGTTGTATACCTCAGGTCAAAACTAAAACCAAATTGGTGACTTCGATAATTTTCTTCATATTGAGATAAGGAGCGGAGACCGGGACACTGAAAGAGTAGACAGAGACCGAATAGACGCCTTTGAAATGTGGAGCTGGAGAAAAATGCTACAGATTCCATGGACCGCCTTTCGCACCAACGTGTCCATTCTGAGAGAGCTTAATATCAAAACTAGACTTTCCACTGTATGCCTTCGTAGGGTGCTGGAATTCTCCGGACATATTGCCCGTAAAAAGGGTCACAATCACAGCTGATGGTGACAGGAAAGGTAGATGGCAAACGTTCCAGAGGACGCAGACCCACGAGATGGTCGGACCACATACGATCTTCTCTAAACATCAACTTCCACAATGCCCTGCATGAAGCTAAGGATCGCAGCAGATGGAAGGAAATCGTACACGAGAAACTGATACAGCGAAGTCACAACCTTCTCTTCTTCTTCTTAATCGAATACTTCATTGCTGAAGGTCGTGTCCCTGAAAGCCCTTCATGGCTCTTTGTACCATCAGCTTCCATTTGCTTCGGTTTCCGGCTTCTCTCAGGGCGTTCGCAACAGAGAGTCCAGTGAGCGCAGTTTTATGATCAGATCAGTAATGAGGAAAACGACGCGAGGAGGAGGATACCTCAGGTTGAGGCATGCGTGACGAACCAGTCACGAGCACGCCTCGCGATGTCTGTACGCGACTTTAAACACTAATGACAAACAAACAAAGAACTAATTAATGTTAATATAAACAATCACACATTTCCTATGTCATGTTTGACGGACCGACTTACAGAAATCGACTGCGTTCATATTAACATACCTATGACTTAACGTTTAATGTTTTTTATACAAAGTTAAGATTTAAACTACGCACATCGATCAGCTACAGATGTAAAATCGCAAATAACTGACAGCTGTCTTCATTTGCAAACAAACCGTGTTGCAAATAATCGAATTAACTACAAACTTAAACTTACTGTCATCCAATTTCTAACCTAAAAGCCTATTTTTCTTTTGACCTGTCACAACTAAACAGTAGGTATAAGCCGCGCCAATAAAGAAGCGAATCTAAAATGGCGGCGGCGATCATGCGCTCTCACTCTAAACTATTGCTGTCTTTAGTCGCACACGGCGCGGCGCGTACTGCATGCAAAAAAATCTCAGTTCTGACTTTGTTGTTGAGTTCGAGTTTTTTTTTCGAGTTGTGCGACTTAGATGACTGGCAGCAAAAGTGTCTACGCAAGTTGCATCCCAGATGAGACACCTCCCCCTCTGCCAGGGCATAAAGTAAAGTACATTCTCATTGTTTTTTTTAAATATTTTTCTACAATAAACAACTTTTTCTTTCTATCTTTCTATTTATTTGTTGACCCTACCATCTGTCAGTGCAGGTACATAGGCGCCATTTTAGATTCGTTTCTTTATTGGCTTACATAAATATAGCTCGAGTTTATATCATGATGATGCCTTCAGCGTGACGCAATAAACACAATATAATTCACTGTATATAATATATGGCGATTATAAATTGTATTCTACAATGCGACATCAAATTTTGAAGCTCTTGCTAGGGTTAGTGTTAGCAACGTCATCAGGTTTGAGCCCCGTGAGCTCACCTACTAGTTAATGCTGAAATGGTCTCTCAAGACCATCAGCTTAGGTAGGAAAAAAAATTGATTGTGCTATCTGTAGTTTCGCTTTGAAATCACTGACTAGATTTTAGGGACTTCCTAATTACGACCGGAAGTTTACGACAAAAAAAAAAGAGACCCACATTTCGGTCTTTTAGTTACTTTCATGTCAGACTTTGTATGAGATCGAATCCTGACTAATTGTTTTTGGAATCACGAATTCACAATTAAACACATAATAATAACACTACGCACAACTAACAGATATGTTCTTGCAGTCGATGTGAAGCTAAGCGGTTGTCTATTAAAACTTGCCTATGAATACGGCACTTGGACGTCGAATCGTATTCGTAATGATTATGGAGGGTAGAAGTAAGGATGATCATAGTGTATTATAAAGTTTTTATTTTTTATTTTTAATATTCTTTTTCATCTAAGCAATAAAATAAAAACCATAATGTCCGGTGAAACGGAGCGAATGAAGGCGGTGCTATTGTAGCAAGTGGAATGATTTTAAAAATAGCACCATAAGCTACATATTAGAGTAGAATACTAAATTAAGAAGGAAAGAAAAAACACTTCCTACGTAGATAGTAATAAAAGTTTTCTTCTACACAAGTCACAAAAAAAAAAACGGTTGTCTGTAAAGTCGGTTTGGTGAAGATAGTTGAACGTGACAACGTCATAAGAAAATACTGACGGAATGGTTTCATTTTTCAAAAGAAAATTTTAATTTTATTTTTTTGATAGATACTTTGTATGGACGATTTACACCACATTCACTTTTTACTGAACTTCATACTTGACGAAAACATGTAAATGTTTTATTGTATAGCAGCTGTCCACGCGGATGCATCGCTCACTCAAGTAGGAGAGTCGAACGCTGCCGAACGCGGAGGCCGATTGTGCCTTTTTGTCGCTCGTTGCGCGCTCTCGCTTACACTTCAAGCCTTAAATGGAACGCCTCAATGATGCATGTTTTTTCGTGCGTGCAGCCGGCTCCATCGAATTATAAGACGTTGTCACGCCAATATCAAATGTTTTCAACTCAGCACACTACACTCTATTTAAAACTGCTATATTTATATCATTTCCACTTCCTACACTAGCCCTATTTCGGTAAGTCTTCAAACAATAACTTTCTGTTTCAACTTGTCCCCTATACAAAATGGTGCTCCTTACTTCCAACCTCCATATTAATGATCGACTTAGTTACATGAATAAATATTTTCAATCGTGCTCTCATCAAACTATTCAAATAAAACAACAAAAGCAAACGAATTAAGACTATTAAAATCACAAATCGCTGTCACGTCAATAATTCAAAGTTTACACGCACAGCAGTTATATGGATGTTAAAGAAAATCTAAGGAAGGTTTCATTTAGAACAATTACACTATTATTTTATTAGTTAAGTTAGTTGCAAGCGGAATCAGTGCTGGCTGCGGCCGGTGGCGCTGCGTCGTCCCTCCGCGCCGACGGAGAAACTTCTGGAAACATTTATGATCAGTGTGCTTAGTGTGAGTTCTTTAACGTTCTCGATAGCGTAAAAGTTAACCCAATTTTGTATGCAGTTGGAACAGCGGTAAACGTACGCAAACGATCCCATTCCATACAAATATGAGCTAACTTTTACGCTATCGAAAACGTTAAAAAACTCGCACTAAGCACACTGGTTCAACCAATTATTCGAGACCAAACAACGAGAACTCGATGAGAGCTCATTATAGACGTGTGACGTCATTTGAGGCCACAACAAATGACAAATATAATAAATAGATACAGTTTTACACAATGTATCATTAATCACGCCATGGTTTGTATTTAACATTACAATAAGAATTATAAAATAAATTATTTTATTGTTTGATTTATTAAGCGATAGCAGTAAAGTGTGTCTGTGTCCGTGTGCGTGTGCGTGCGTATGTGTGTGCACGCGCGTGTGGGTGTGTGTGTTTGTTGTGTGGGCGTGCGTGTGTATGTATGTGTGTGGGTGTGTGTATATATATGCGGCAGTCGATATGAAGGTTGTTGAGGTACGTACCGGATGTCGACGGCAGCAGGTCCGGCGACGCTCAGGAGGAGCGGCGGCCCGTGAGCGAGCCCACCAGAGACTTGAGGGCCTGGCCGAGCGACGCGCGCCCCTCGCCCCCCGCCGCGCCGCCCGCCCCCGCCGCCGCCGCCCCGCCGTGCGCGTCCAGACACTTCTGGTACCGCAGCTGCGGGCACAACACACGGAACCTTATTAGCTGTGCCACTACAAGCGATAAACGAAATCTAAACATTCGTTTTACAAAAAACAGACGCAGAGGGCACAATACATTGAGTAATAACAATACCCGTAGCGATACGCAAGTAGTAAACGAAGCGTCGGAACGCTCCTTTGAAAAAGCGGCGGAACACAATAACCCTTTTATCGTGGCCGCCGCTAACTTCATATCTCGGAGCAATGCAAAACTGTAGTGGCCCGAAACGTGTCGGATCCAAATTCCACTCTCGGTGATTTTAGGCTCTTAAAGCAGCGATCACCGTCCTCGAAATCGTGGATGCGAATTAACCCATAGACACAGCCTACCGAGTTTCTCGCGGGATCTTCTCAGTGGATCGCAATTCCTATCCTATGGTAGATTCCGCAACGGACTGGTCTTGCTAGGGCTAGTGTTGGCAACCTACCAGTCTGAGAGTAGCTGGAACAGTTCCTTAGGCTGCCAGCGAATAGGTAGAGAAAATAAAAACATTATCCAGCCTTAAAATTGTATAGCAAATCTCGTTTTGTGGAAAGAGTATAGAGATATCAATAGGTTTCACCTATCTCACGAGTCGATTTACCGAAATAAAGGAAGATACCATATGCATTTACATAGCACGCATACAAGGACATCTTTCTGAAGCAGTCAGAGTAGTAAGTAAGTAAGAGAGTAAAACATACTTTACAGTTCACTTAAACAATCTACATTGAACTTTAAACTGTAGGCCTTCGATCAACAATAGTAACTAGATAAAGGGATACGTACAAAATTAAAGCAAAAACTGTCTGCGTGAATATATACTTATATAGCTACATTCGTTTACTAACAAACGGAGAAAAAAGTTTTGAAACACTTTTACGTTCAAACTAATTACAACTATGGCACCTAGTAATAAAGTCACAAATCTCCAAAACATTATCTAATACTTACGATCATTCGTCACATAAAACGAGCAAAGCAATAAATTACTCCTGTCACTTACCAATAAAAAGACATATTTTAAACAACTTTTAATGTTAAATCAATCTTAAGGTGCAACAAATAAAGTAACTTTTCCCTTAATTGCTCTGAGAACTAACATCGTTTTGCTTTATTTATTTTTGCTTCTTGAAATGCCGATTTCTATTTACTACAGGAGGTAAGGGAGTCGCGCTTAACACTAAAATAATTTATTAATGAATTAAAGTAAAAGTTTAGTTGTTTACTTTTTATGTTTTGGAAATGTATGTTTGTTAGTATCTATACATTACTTATTATTTTATTAGCGTTACGTTTTTGTGTAATATATATTTTTAAGTTTTCGCGACCAGTGCACATAATAAAACAACGTTTAAACGGTTTCAAGCGTGGTATTTTTATTACAATGTTTCGGCCACATTTCAGTAGCCGTGAGCACGGAAGGCAAAGATGTCCAGTGTCAATAAGCGGAGTTCTTAGCTGGCTTATAAAAGTCATCTCTTGTTTCTCTGGCGACAATCGAGATCCATTCTGCACACGTGATTGCTAGGAAAGCTAAAATAAAAATGGAAAGCTAAGTATCTAATGAGAGTCCAACAAACAGACACAAAAGCAGCATTAACCAATTTTAACCAACTAATTTTGAAGTGCTGCTAACAAATTTCGAAAAATTATTACAACACAAATCTACTCCATGCATTTACTGTTCTGTTAAGCAAAAGTTTGTCCATGTGTTGGCCGAGCCTTGGCCAACATTTGTAGCGGTGGTTAAAAATCGGTAATTTTGTTCAAAATTTAATATTATTTATAAGTTTAAAGCTTAAAATATAGTTTACACTTCATGTACTTACTGAAAGTAAGATACTCCGGCCGTTAAATTGCTTTTTCGGGCCTTATTTTTGCAACTTTTGAATACACACTGCGGTATTGTGAGACGGGTTGACATTGGCTGTGTTTGAAGTGAACTAAATAAAAAAACAGCTCACATTTCAAGTGAGCTGTTATTTGACGAGACGGATTTTATGCACCGACCCGAAATCTAGTTACTATTGTTGATCGAAGCTGTAGGCACAATAAGTACAATAGGCGTTATTTTCGCCGAAATCAATCCCTTCAAGAAAACCCTTTTTGAAGTGAGACGCGTTGAGAGTAAAATTTAATTCACGACAGATTCGTTACGGCTAGAGAGAAAAGATACAATTTACGAAGAGCGAGAGTGAGAAAATAGACTAAGCATCTCAAGAACCAGTCTACGAGAGAGGGAAAAGACAAAGCGAACTAAGTCGTTTCTCTTACACACAGCATTCCCTATTACAAGATAATTTTGATTTGAGGATGAAAAATGAAGAAAACCACAATACACGAATACTACACACCGCAAAAGAAGTTTCACCTCTTTCACGTTCACCAAGTTGCACTAGCACCTTTTTTTTTTTAAATACCGTTGCCCTTGAAGAGAGGCCACCCCAAAACAACTTGGCGTCGCTCGGTGGAGCAGGAGCTAGGGGTCTTGGGCATGACGTGGGAGGAGCTAGAACAGACTGCCCAAGACCGATGTAAATGGAAGGATTTGATTCGAGCCCTACATCCCAGCAGAGGGTAATCTATCTATATATATAAAAATGAATTGCTGTTCGTTAGTCTCGCTAAAACTCGAGAACGGCTGGACCGATTTGGCTAATTTTAGATTTGAATTATTTGTGGAAGTCTAGAGAAGGTTTAAAAGGTAGATAAATATGAAAATGCTCGGAATTAAATAAAAATAACAATTTTGTTTTCCCTTTGATGTGTCCCCCGTCCGTCGGATTCTTTTTGTTTGTTTTAAGTTTATTTTATAACAAAGTTTAGGTCTTTTATTTATCGATTGAGGCACTACGAAGTCTGCCGGGTCAGCTAGTAGGAAATAATGATGATGATGATTACCGTTGCCCTCAATTACGTCTATACTTCAATGGATCTGTCGAAGGTCCATTGTCTGTTCCTGTGGGATTACCTTGCAGGCGGCCTCGATGGTCTTGCAGAGCGCGCCCGACGAGGGCTCGGTGTGGAAGGCGTGCGCGACGAACAACTCCTGGGCGGTGTGCACGATGAAGGCGCAGCGGCGGACGTCGCGCCCTATGCCCAGAAACGACAGGTACCGGACGCGGCACTCCACTATCGGAGTCGTTTCCTGGGCGAAAACACAACAGAACTGTCAATGGACAGCAGATGCTAGGAGCCGTAGCATTAACGAAACGCATTACTGCTTCACGGCAAAAATAGGCAGGGAGGTGGTACCTACCCGCGGGGACTCACAAGAGAAAAGAGGAGATACCACTAAGTAATTACTCAAATTATATTCATCGTGAAAGTCACGATTACGATTACGAGTCACGATATTTTGGTAGGCAGCGGCTTGACTCTGCCCCTGGCATTGCTGAAGTCCATGGGCGACGGTTACCACTCACCATCAAATGGGCCGTATGCTCGTCTGTCTACAAGGGTAATAAAAAAAGTCAATCGTGAGCATTTGTTAAGTAGGTACGTATTTCATTAAAAAATTTGTACCGGCCTGCGGGATTCGAACAAAATCCTCTTTCTTATCCGTCAGGCTGCGACGACTTCAGGACTTTCTTTAATCTGTCTTAAAATTTTAAATCGACACTCTCATATCATTATGTGTGTAAGTTAGTGTATGTTTATGCGGATGCTCATGTGCGCTCAGGCGTGAGGGATTGTATGCGCGTGTATAACGACGTACCCCCTCCTCGGTGATGGTGATCATAGAAGGTGCCACGGCGACGTGCACGGGGCGCCACGCGGACGGAGGTCGCGCCGCGGCCAGCCGCTCTAGGGCATCATTCAGCACGCGCATGCCGGTAGCCCGGGACACCTCGGCGCTGCCCAGGTATAACGCTCGGACGGTCTTGCGAGGCTCTTCCATAGGAGTCGGGAACGCACAGCCCACTGGAAATAAAGAGAGATTTTTATTGAAGCATCGTATAGACAAGAAAGATATATCTAAATATATCTATCCATATCCGATTTTTCCTGGGCGATGACGGGACAAAGGGCCATGTCCCGGTGATGTGTAGCACAACTAATTTTTATTAATTTTTGACATTTATGCATAAGTGTACATTTAAATTAGTCTGGTGTTTTCCTCCTTTCCTTATGTTGTTTCTTGCTTGCTGATTGTTTTGATTTTTTTTGTTTCTATGCTTTTGTTTTTAATTTTTGTTTTTTTTTTTTGTTTTGAATTTGTTTATATTGGTGAGGACATTTAATTGGCTTTTTGTTTCTATTATTTGTTATATTATTATACTACGTTAGTTGGCTGTTGGTTCTCCTTGTATTAAATAAATAAATTAATTCATAAATATCTAAGCTGATAGACCAAGGTTCGTGGTAGAACACTATGAGCAATCGTGAACGCATGAGCTTACTTTAATAGTGAAAGGTTGGAGATCTATAACAACAAGTGGTTTAGACCACTCTGTGTCACTGCGCTATAACAAGAAGACAGTCTTGTTCTGAGGTACTTAAAATTATTTTAAAATTAATAGAGGGTGTGATTAAGAGGTGAAGATTTAAATAGGCATGCAGACACACGAGATGAGTTTGGTCGTGTGCCAAGCGAGCTCGGAATCCTACAGCGTCTTCAATATCCACCTAACAATAGGCAGTTACCAGAGCCCGAAGATATCACAACGTGAATGCAACTACCCATCTTGAGGTTTATATCTCAATCGTATAGTCTTTACGCTGATAACTTTCTTTTGCGGATTCAATTTGTATGTATTAGACGATGTCCTTTGTCGTGAAAGTGATTCGTCAATATGATCTAAGTACGTATTTCATTAGAAAAATCTGTATCTCTGCGGAATTAAAATACCGATATAATCTCTTCGGTCGATTCAAATTCACCAATTGTCTCGTCCTTGAGACAATGACTACACTTACAATGACTACACATATAACATTTCATTATATCATTACTATCGATTCGTAGGTATTGGATTACAACGTCAATTCATAGACCATTGCTTTGGAGTTATCGCTGCCTGATGAGGTCTAAATCTCTTTCACGTCTCCCAAAACAGAACTCCTGATAACTAAGCGGCAGAAATTAGCGGAGATTTACCTACTTATATATGTCGGCGTAGAAGTATGTAGAAGATTGCACAAAGTGGGAATGAGTTGCTCGTTCCGGGCATTTCAATATTGTAATAATTGTTATGTTATTATACTCATGTAAAAATGAATATTTAAAAAAATCTAATATTAAAAAAATAATCTAATATTTAAAAAAAAAAAAACATGCCCGCTGAGTTTCTTGCCAATTCTTCTCAGAACGGAGGCTAGTTCTTGTGAATTGGCGGTAGTTCTTTTGACGTTCAACAAGTATGTACTTTCATTTATGTTGAATAAATTTTTTTTGATTTGATTTGATTTGATTTGGTTTGATTTGATCTGGAGCAACGTCACTATTTAGTTTACTAAAATAGTTAAAGTTACATAACTGTTTCCATAATGTTATGCATGTCAACAACTGTTTAAGATGTTATTCATGAGAATTCATGGCTAAGCTACCCGCATTTTCTACTATAAATACGAGTGACTATTGTCGCACAAAACATTCCGGAGTGCAGCTCTCTGTTGTTATCGCTGTACACTTGAAATGTAATAAATGGAATTCGTTGGAAAAGTGAGTCTTAATTACTGTCACTATGGAAGGCAATGATAATCATGAAGAGAATGGCGTCAGCAGCGCTGTCATCATTTTAAAAACGTCATGGAACCAGCCACTCTTCGTCATATATAATATGATGCTCAACCAACATGAGTACGTATTATTTAGTTACCTGACAATGGACGCGGACGCCTGGTTGAAGGTAAGTCAGTGGGGCGCGGCGGCGGTTGTAAGGAGCGTTCAATCATGATGCGCTTGCATATGTCCCGGAGTGCATTGGCTATGGTACGAGCAGGAGCCTCGCATCGGAACACGTGGCACATGTGCTTGCGAGTAGCGCGATCCCGAGCCACATATGCAAAATCTCTGCACAAGAAAATATCATATCGCTAAATAAACAAAACTTCAAAACCGTTAACAACATTTCAAAATACATAGCTTTTTTTAAATTGCACTTAATTAGAAAACTAAAATAGTAAAAATTAACATTAAGTTGCGATAAAAGGAATAAAAAGAAATTTAAGTTCATATTTAGATATGTTTAATGAAGAACGGGATTTTGGTAAAATCCTGTGCTTAGTTTTATCATGCATACCTCTCACTGTCCAATGAAAGCAAAGAGAAAAAATTGCCTTTTTAATTAGTGCGATAATCGTTTTAAATTCTTAAATAATATTAAATATGTATTATCTGATAGAGCTTAATGACAATATAATCTTCTAGTCTAGACCAGACCAAACGAGTATTGTGAAATCAATATCGGTATAAAGACTTATAATTTTTTTAACTTGGAATATAAAATATAGCATATAGGGAGACCTTACCGCCCATTATCCCTTCCAACTCCCCAAACACGTATAGTGTGAATGGGCTGTGTATGAAGCGTGTTCAGGCTCTCTGGATCTATCAGTTTCAAGGCGCCATCATCTAGATCCATGAACAGATCCTTACCCTGAAAAAAGTTATATCTTTTTTATTTATACAGAATTCATTACTTAATTATATAAAGGAAACGAACTTTTGGTTTTTTCTAAATTCACTAGCAAATTAATTAAAATTAGTAATTTCAAAAGAGAGCAAAGATTTACAGCATATAACGCACAGGTGATGGGAATGTCACAAGTTTAATTTATTCCTTATTCAATTTATGGAGTGATGCATTTATTTTGCAATTTTCATTATTATAATCTGCGTTTTATTACGGCAACTGGCAGCTGTAATATATATATTTAAAATTTACATAAAACTACTCACATCGCCCCAACGACCAACTTGATCTAAAAGATCATTTCGACCCAAGCTGAGGTCCACGATGCATTTGTTGACTGCTCTACTGGATCGTTCTGGGGTCAGATCCGACTCTGAGATCTCGACCCAACCGAGGGAACGAACGAAGAATCGTACAGCACGCCCGTTGTCTGGTTCTGGACGGGCTGGGTAACTGCGGCGTCTACAGCATACCTTCTTGTTAATAATATACTCAATATACTACCTATATACATTTGTGGTGAATGGTTTTTCACACACAGACTAACAACGGGAGACCTCCGGAAGAAAAGAAAGACAGGCTGTCAGATTGAGGGAAAAATGTCATGAGATAAGAATTTGTGTTTTACGTTTTTAAAAGGTTCAAATGATAAAAACCAATTGATTGTTAATGTATACGATTTTAAGGTGCGTGTGGAATAAATAAGTGCTTCCTATACTGCAGTTTGAGTTTAATCTGCAACGAGGACAGTTGACAACATATTTCCTAAGCATTTAATACAGTCAGTTTTCATCTAGTCATCGAAATTTGACCATAACCACTCGAAGGTTTAGATACATTTGATGATTCATTATTTCTTTTATTCTACGATTGTCATTTTGAAGAAAAAATAATCGTCTATTATGAATGCTTACTTGTAAGAAATCTCCTCTTTTCGTTTCCTCTCAGCTTCTTGATCGACATGGTCGAGAGCTCCACTTGTTGTACTCCTGGTCACAGACGAGGTCATCACTGCACCCTCATATTTGCTGACTTCGGAGAGATTCGAGCAGTCTCTGACCATGGAAATACGGGATTCCCTCGCTTCGATCGGAGGCATTTTAGGAATCTCTCTTTGAATTGTGCCGCTCTTTATGTGCCAATAGTATGGGCCGTCGTTATCTGAAACATTTTTTACTGTGTTTTGTAAAAAACCATAGATAGATGTAAAAATAGAGGCTTTTTCTCAACACAAAATCTTTAAAAATATCAACTAGAACACAAAATACCCAGCTATCTCGGTTCAAATATTTTACGGACCATTTTGGCTAATGTCGATGTAGGCACAGTTTTAGGGACATTGTGTGTGACACTGAATGGGCTATTAAATAATTATTTATCAATATATCTTCATACCCTCGTGTTTTTCCCATCCTGGTGGTAGCTGAGGTTCTTTCTTCGGTCTGAGCTTCACTGGTATCGCATACAGATCATCATTGGGTCCTTCAGCTGAGTGGGGAACGGGTGCCGCGTGACTCTTCTCCGTGTCTTCCTGGTCAGCCCTCTCCTTCTCCGGAGGAGGGGAGTCATCACCACCATTCTGTTGTGGGGGCGTTATGAAGCCGTTCTTTTCACTGAAACAAGTGATATTTTTTTTTACTAATTAAGTAGTTTTTGTGTGAAGATCATTGGTCAATTAGAGCATATATGTATATCGTTATGATCTATATAACTGTTTTGTTCTAAGCTCTGATGAGGGTTGGTAGTATTTTTCCAGTGGCAATGACAACGTTACCCATATCAATAATAATGACATTCGTAAGACCACCGTGTCTCTAAACGAAGCGAATCAATGGACAATTCATCGAAGTTATAGAGAATATTTTTATTGTTATGAAGGAAGAACAGCTACCAATTTAAATTACCACTGACACAGCTAAATCGCCACTGACTTAAGCAAAAAAAACATTTAAATCTCGTTTTAAAAAGGGCTGAAAAACCAACAATTTCTCATGAAACGTATTTCATGCAATATTAAAACATTTATTAGATCACAGAACTAAAGTTTTCCTATTTGTAGAATCACAAAAGACCCAAGTGTATTTAGAATAAATTAATTATGATATCTTATTATTTAGAATATTTACTTTAGAATCTTTACTGGTGGTAGGACCTCTTCTGAGTCCGCATGGGTAGGTACCACCAACCCGCCTATTTCTACCGTGAAGCAGTAATGCGTTGCGGGTTGAAGGGTAAGACGGCCGTTGTTACTATACTTGAGGCCTTAGAACTTATACCTCAAGGTAGGTAGCGCATTTACGTCGTAGATGTCTATCCGGGCTCCGGTAACCACTTAACATTAGGTGGGCTGTGAGCTCGTCCACCCATCTAGGCAATAAAAAAAACTATTAATTACGTTTTAACTTTATTTATCGCCTAGGCATCGTACGAACACCGCAAATAATTTAATTAAGACAAACATAAATTTATACAACTTTATATTGGCAACGAAACCTACGAAGCAGTCCCTTTTTAATTACCTAGCCGAGTAAGATCAACCCACGACATTTAATGGCGAAAACAAACAACACTTTCAACGTAAAAGCTGAATAAGAAACTGGGATGCTGCAGCGGAGGATTAATATAGACGCTAAGCCACGGTTATACGATTCAAAATGCATTTTACAAGCTTACGAACGGGTAATAAAAAGGACAACAAAGAGCTTCATGTAGGCTACATTGTGTGCGTCATTTGCGAATCGCGGTAACGCGGTAAGGTAGAGAACATGGTGTAAACGCGAGCGGTTTTCACGTCATTACGAACACTCCCGATCCATTAATGGTGCTTTTAGGTAGCTCAAGCATCGGTCACCGTCCTCCTGAATTAACCCACAGACAGAGCCCACTGAGTTTCTCGCCGGATCTTCTCAGTAGGTCGCGTTTCCGATCCGGTGCTAGATTATGCAAAGCACTGCTCTTGCTAGGGCCAGTGTTAGCAACACACCCGGTTTGAACCCCGTGAGCTCACCTACACGTCAAGGAAAAGCTGAAATAGCCTCTCAAAGCGGTTTGTCTTGTGAGTAGTTAGTAACTCTCAAATAGTAAGCCTCAAACCGGCCGAGAATAGTTCCAAGTGGGGAAATCATTACGATGAGCTTCTGATTTGTGGACTCTATAATCATTTTGAGGCGCTATATGAAATTAAGGCTACTCGAAAGCAATATTTTGTACAAAACTTAAAAAATTTACAAACACGATACAGGAAGAAGTTCATAAAGTGTTTTGGCGACATAGGAGGAAATTTGGAGTATATGATTAAAGTTGCATTAGGGGTATTGTGATTCATAATCAATGCTCTTAGATACAGATTTGACTACTGCTTAGATTTTTATTTATTATTCTCATAAGTTGGATTGACTATTGGCTGTTGACGACGTTATCATTGTTTCCAGCCAGGGTAATGATTACAATTGAAACATGCAGATTTTGCAGGGGACGAGTTGCGAGTGGGAGATCTTCCAACACGCTGTCTCTGCTCGAAGACATAAATGATACTGCTATTAAGAACTTCTGATATTTTGAAATATTTCTTGAAACCATTATGATAGATTTTAAAGGTGGCAAATAAATAACATGATATCATAATATATTTAAAACTACTTTTACTCTTTAATCTTGCGTTTTTATTGTCATTGTATTAAAAATCCCAATTTCTCCAAAAAAAAAACTGTTTTTGTGAACGACTTAGGTATTTATCATCGACATTTGATTATGACAAACTGTTACCACAATATTTTTAATAAGCACAGTATAAAAACACACGTAAAAGTTTTATTTTTATTTTTATTATTGCCTAGATGGGTGGACGAGCTCACAGCCCACCTGGTGTTAAGTGATTACTGGAGCCCATAGACATCTACATCTTGAGATATAAGTTCTAAGGTCTCAGTATAGTTACAACGGCTGCCTCACTCTTCAAGCCGAAACGTATTACTGCTTCACGGCAGAAATAGGCGGAGTGTTGTGTATAAATTATGTTTAACAACTCTAATATCATAATCGCTCGTCGCTTATACAACATATCCTCATCTTGAGTTTAGCAGTAGACGCCAAGGCCAGAGAAGCGTGGACGCCAAACAGAACATGTAATCATGCTTACATTAATGTTATTCTTTACTCAGATTATTTATAAAAATAAACATAGCTACTTAGGTACATAGGTATAGGTATTTTCTTAACTTACTTTTTTTTCTTTTTTTTTAATTCCAGCCTAAGCTGATGATAGCCTTGAGAGGCTATTTCAGCGTAACCTTAACTAGTAGGTGAGCTCACGGGGCTCAAACCGGAGTGTTGCTAGCACTGACCCTAGCAAGAGCAGTGCTTTGCAGTATCTACCACCGGATCGGAAACGCGACCCACTGAGAAGATCCGGCGAGAAACTCAGTGGGCTGTGTCTATGGGTTCAATCAATCGATTTCAGGGTATTATTTACAAATCTACCATACTTTATTTTGTATTAGTACATGGTTATTAAGAACTTATGTATGTTTCTACAGTAGATTTGTGTTCTCTAGTGGAAGATCTGCCTTCGAGCTTAGATTTTTGTGTAGAACTTGCCCAAAGCTCTCAATTCATACGTCATCTTGAGTGCGGAAGTTAAATAAAAAAAATTTGGTGGTCGTTTTTTTTTATTGCTTAGCTGAGTGGACGACCGAAGGCCTACCTGATGTTAAGTGGTTACCGGAGCCCATGGACATCTACAACGTAAATGCCGTCACCCACCTTGAGACATGAGTTCTAAGGTCTCACTTTTAACTACGGCTGCTGGGCGCTTCAAACCGAAACGCATTGCTGCTACACGGCAGAAATAGGCAGGGTAGTGGTATCTACCCGCGCACACTAGTGAGGACAATTCAGCGAAGCACTGCTCTTACCAGGGCTAGCGTTAGTTAGTCCTTCCAGCTTGTGCTTCTTGAGTTCACCTACTAAGCCGCCCTTAGATGGAACAGCCTCTTAGCCCCTATACAACCGATTAGGTAGGGGGAAGAAAGGTATTTTTTCCAATATTTTTCTGTCCACGCTCGGGACAATTAATATGTCGGTTTGTGGACGTGATGTTATATGTATATTTTTAGTCCGACAGTAACAATTAGATAAAATATTAAAAAAATTATCAAAAAGGCGCCAAATTCGTGATTCAGTAAAAAATGCACAGATAATATATAAAGAATCAGTGTATGCGTTTCGTTTCACGCTGTCAAGATCTTGAACGCCTGATGTGTAAACGTCAGAGGAACACATGGTACTAGTTCCATTATTAATGCTACGACATGAAGCGTTATGGTAAAATTAATTAACTTACTTTGTCTTGTTTAGTGGCGACGAAGCCTCGTCTTCGACTCTGCAACAAATAATTAATATTAGGACTGATTACAGTAAGAGACGAAACGTAATTATTTTTGGCTCGTGGTAATGATACACGTCACAGCCCACTGGTTTTAAATGGTAACTGAAGACCATAGATATCTGCGAAGTAAATGCGCCACCCACCTTGAGATATAAGTTCTAAGGTCTCAAGTATAGTTACCCACCCTTCAAATCGAAACGCATTACTGCTTCACGGCAGAAACAGGCAGGGCGGTGGTACCTACTCGCGCGGACTCACAAGAGGTCCTACTACCACCAGTAAATAAATTCTTCTAAATTGCCAGCCCTAATCCAGTCTCGATATTCCCAGACCGCAACCACTTTCGTAAATTGCATCCATCAAAGTACTTTTCATCAAAACATCCATAAAGATCGAGTGCAGAGTCCAGAAAATCGGTCAGAGCAATTCCGTTCGAAACTAGAAACATTTGCGTGAAACTTGGCCTATAGGACGCCGAAACTGCCCCTTTTAACAGGCAATTGGACTCCCCCGCAAATTAGGGGGCTCTCTAACTGCCTATTCGGAGCATTAATGGGGTAAAATTCCCCGATCTCAGTTTACATTCGGAACTTTTGTTTTACGTTTTCGAAATATAATTAAGATTTAAAACTAAGTACATATAAATGACAATTAAGAATATTAACTGTTTAAAAATTCAAGTCTGAATGAACTCTGATGAAGGTTATTAACATTGCTAATAAATTGATTGTCTGTATTGAGGTGCGTGGATAGTTTTTTTTATTTGTAACGCCTTTTGGTCAGATCTCATAAAGGAATTTATCTTTACATTAATTGCAATGGATGTCCAGTGCTCTAAACACTTCATAGCTCTGATCTAGTGATAAGGCAACCCATATAGATGGGTTCATATAGATGAACAAGAGAAAACCTTTTTATTTTTATTTTTTATTGCTTAGATGGGTGGACGAGTTCACAGCCCACTTGGTGTTAACTGGTTACTCGATCCCATAGATATCTATAACGTAAATGCCGCCACTTACCTTGAGATATGAGTTCAGTATAGTTACAACGGCTGCCCCATGCTTCAAATCGAAACGCATTACTTCTTCACGGCAGAAATAGGAAGGATGGTGGTACCTACCCGTGCGGACTCACAAGGCGTCCTACCACCAGTAATTACGCAAATTATAATTTTGCGGGTTTGATTTTTATTACACATTGCGAGTTTATTAACGTTCTCGATAGCGTAAAAGTTAACTCATATTTGTATGCAGTTGGAACAGCGCCCCTAGCGGCAAACGTAGGCAAACGTTTACTGTACACTTTACAACTAGACGCTTCATTTTATTACACACAGGAGTCTGTAGCTATGTGTTTCTTGTGAGATTTTAAAATAGAACATCAGCGCTAAATAGAAACATCGCTGCGTCGTCCAAGTCGTTAATGCTATTCATCTACAGTAGTCTACACTGCAACCACATGTCGTTTTGAACACGTAATAAACTTGTAAATTGCGTCTTGCAAACATTTAACGGGTTTCATTTGAAAATAATTTACATGCTACTTTTTGTAAAATGTTATCTGCCTGCTTTACTGCGCTCGAATGTACCGTAAATGCATCGCCGAGTTTCTACCCTCGAAAATGAAACTAGAGACGAATATTTTAATACTACAATGTCTATCTGTATCGCGGCTACGAAAGTATGTTTTGTTTGTTTGTTTGTTTGTTTGAGAAATAATAAATAATCTTAGTAGATTACGAATGTTCTAGATTTAGGGAAATTACTATTTGTCCGCTTCCGGACATTGTGCAAACAAACACGTTAATGATAAAAATGAAAGCAAACACACACAGAAATATATGTATAAATATAAATTAATACGTGAAGCAAAAACTTTGTATCCCTTTTTACGAAAATTGCGGCGCGGACGGAGGAGTATGAAATTTTCCACACTTATAGAGAATATAGAGAAGAAGTGCACAATGCTAATATTTTTGTTAAATAATGCATAAAAGATACATTAAATCAATAAAGAAAACATTACACACACTACATACCATGTATTTGACGCACACACGCATGCATACTATTTATTGTCAAACTTTTGTTCTTGCCGTCTGTTGTCAAATTGAGAATATTATTGTTTGTCTTTATTAATATTTTTTTTTATAGAGTAGCCTTGGCGAAATTTGTGATTATAAAAGTATAAAATACAATCATAATAGTGTCCACACTTACAATTCCAATTAATTATAGTCGAATTTCGACTACTGCGGGATCTCTAGTAAATATAAATGCGTTTCAGTTTGAAAGGTAAGGCAGCAGTTGTCGTTTGAAGTCGTCGTGGCCTAACGGATAAGACGTCCGGTGCATTCGTGTTGAAGCGATGCATCGGTGTTCGAATCTCAGGCGGGTACCAATTTTTCTAACGAAATACGTACTCAACAAATGTTCACGATTGACTTCCACGGTGAAGGAATAACATCGTGTAATAAAAATCAAACCCGCAAAATTATAGTTTGCGTAATTACTGGTGGTAGGACTCCTTGTTAAGTCCGCGCGGGTAGGTACCACAACCCTGCCTATTTCTGCCGTGAAGCAGTAATGCGTTTCGGTTTGAAAGGCAGCCGTTGTAACTAGCCTTGAGACCTTAGACCTTATATCTCAAGGTGGGTGGCGCATTTACGTTGTGGATGTCTATGGGCTCCAGTAACCACTTAACACCAGGTGGGCTGTGAGCTCGTCCACCCATCTAAGCAATAAAAAAAAAGTTGTACTGTAAAAACTGAAGCTTAGAACTGCTACTGATGTCTATGGGCTTCGGTGACCCCTTAACACTAGGCGGACCGTGAGCTTATCCACCCATATTAACATAAAAAAAAATTTTTTTTTTTTTTTAAATTCATCTCAATTAGTGTCATAACTAAAAAAAGTAATAAATCTCAGATATCGGATTTCATTATTGACCGCTAGATGGCACTAGTAACATAAAAAATACAGTTCATATTGAAAAAATATTATGCCATTATATTAATAGTGACAGTAGTATTATTTATTATGCTTTTTGACATTTCGTGTGGAATTCTAAGAGGTTTGAAGGCGCGAACAATATCAATTAAAAATCTGTTATCACCTAAAATTGTCATGATTCTGTCTATGTAGTAATAAAACAAAAGATGTATGTATGTATGTATGCAAGTCCGGCCTCTTCGATCATGCGTGGTAAAAACCCTAATTTTATTTCCCTACAGAAATTCTTCAACTGGTACAATAGAAATAATTTGCGTACGCGATTACAGGACTACTCCCTTATTTTTCTGTAGGCACTTTATATATTTGTAATTTAATCTATTATACTCACAGTCAGTGCCTATAAATAGAGTGAGTTTTCGCTGCGCCAGTAATACGGTCGTGCGCAATGCTACGTGAGGATTTGCAGTTCAATTTTCAGAGGAAAATTGCGGAATCGATTGTATGCTTGGTGCGAGTCACAGGAGGAAGCGTTTTGAAATAGCGCTTTCAATAATAGGACTTTTTTTTTCCAAAATTCTAAAATTATTTTGAATAGTTTTTTTTTCTATTCTATCAGCCCATGGACGTCCACTGCTGGACATAGTCCTCCCCCAAGCCTCGCCACAAAGACCGGTCCTGCGCTGCCTGCATCCAGCGGATCCCTGCGAACCTCAATAGGTCGTCGGCCCACCTTGTGGGAGGCCCACCCACGCTACGTCTTCTAGTACGCGGTCGCCACTCAAGAACCTTCTGGCCCCAACGGCCATCCTTTCCGCGAGCAATGTGTCCTGCCCACTGCCACTTCAGTGTCGCAATCCTTTAGGCTATGTCGGTTACCATGGTTTTCCTGCGAATCTCCTCATTTCCGATTTGATCTCGCAGGGAAACTCCGAGCATAGCCTTTAATAGTAGTTGTCAATAACTATTATATTTATTTAATACCATAAAATATATAGATAGATATAGCATTCAATGTATTATAATTGAAGATAATCAAGTGTTCGATTTTTTTCATATTATATATGCAATTATTGGTTGTTGTGTAACATATGTAACCCTATATTCTTTATATGATAGGAACTATATCATTGCAACAATATTTAATTCCTTTTTTTTAAAACAGAAACATGAATAAAACTAGATATATCTAATGAATTAATTGGGTAATATACTGACATCAATTCTATGAATCCTTTTTCTCTTTTCTTTTTAAATTATAAGTGAATTTTAGTTATTTCGAACTTTAAAAACGCTTAAAGCTTCGAACATTCCCTTCCGAGTGAAACTGTCGTCGCGAAAACAAATGCATTGTGTTTCCAGATAAATGCAACATGGCTGTGTACGAACAGTTAGGATTCTTCCATTGCGTCAAGTATCGTAAAAGATTGCGCTTTCTATCTTAGAAAAGACAAGATGCTGTTTGCCTCAAAATTTAATGATTTATTTTGAAATAGAAATTTTATTCGCACTTATATATATAAGTTTTCAGTTGTTCATTGTTCTATACAACGAAAATTGCAATGAACTGTCGATACGGTTTTTGTGTACGACCTTAATATTGTTTTAGGGTCTTGTTTGAGATATGAGTTCTAAGGTCTCAGTACAGTTACAACAGCTGCCCCGCTGTTCAAACCGATACGCATTACTGCTTCATGGTAAAAATGGGCATGGTGGTGGGACCTACCCGTGCGGACTCACAAGAGGTCCTACCATCAGTAACAAGATCTGTGTTGTCTGTAAGTCTGCATATTAAATGAAAATTTAATAAAATACATTAAGCACGAAAATTAGGAGAAAAATTTTGCTACACTACTCAGCAAACGTAAATAAAATCTTGGACACAAAGTTTTCATCTTTTTTTCCCTTCGTATTGCTAGTAACCTCAAGTGGTTATGCTAGCTTCACCGAACGGCTAGGCGAGATCACAGGGCTCACCCTGCGAGTCTTTGCTAACATTTGCTCTATTAAGGACAGTGCTTTGCTGAATCTACCACCGGA